GTCCAGATGGCAGAGTGCAGACTACAGTAGCGCTTCACTGCATTTCTCCTAGGTTAGCCTGAAAAGCGGCCCAGGTTAGGGTGTTAGAAGGTTTGCTCTCCGTATCTGGATATGAATTGATAAAAAGTCTGCAGTCTGCCCGCCACCTTAGGGGAAGGGGGACAGGAGGGGTGGGGGCGGGGGGGGGGTATCATGTCAGTGCCCATCTGCCCATATTTATATTTGCAGAGTTACATGACATGACATGTTTAGTTGCAACACCTTCACTTTTGGCTGCACCTTGTTTTGATGGTGAAGCTTGTGAGTTTTCAATTATGACCCTCAAACAACTGTGCCAGCTGGACCTAATCGGTCCTTTAGGTCTGGCTGGATTGACTGAGAGGACAGCCTCTGATTCTCAAAGTGGGAGGTAGGTGACAGGCTAATCACCCGTCACCTTAAAACAAAAGGTGATTACAGAAACTTCAAGTACTCAAACTCAATCTCTGCAAGCATTAGGGACATGACCTTAAAAATCTTCTCTAACCATATTTTAGCTGATCAAGATGCAGTTAGCATTATTGCAAACAGCCACCTTTCTGCCGATACTGTTCTGGTTTGTACCGCTAACAAGCCCCATGAAGCAAAGCTCCAAGCCACACATCATTTTCATTGTAGCTGATGACTTGGTAAGTTTCATGTATAGGAGATCAGCAAAAACCCAGTGAATCAATAGGTAACTTGTGATCAACAAATTGTAAAATACTGGACTCTCTCAGAGACAATGAGTTTAAGACTGACTGTTATAAGATTTTAAACTCTGAGACACAAAGAAAAACGACAGATTTAAAAGGGGCAGAAAGGAGGCAGTGCCCCTTTTTTTCCTTGTAAATGTTGAAAAAAATATACAAACTGTCCTTGGAGTGAATTTTTCTTTCAGTTTGGGATGGGGTTGGGTGTGGCCTGCACTCTGCCACAATTTTCTTTGACCCCCTCTATCCGAATACTTTGGATCCACACCTGAGAAACACACACACAAGAATGAGACTTATTCATGACAAATTGTCACAAGGGATTCTACAGGTGATTCTAAAGGCGGAATTATACATTTGATAAAGCAGCACTACAGGACATCTCCAACAAGAACAATAATTTGTAACAATTGGCATTATTTATAATGAAACTAAATAATATTAATGTAGTATATTCTGTGTTGAATCTTCAGGGCTGGGATGATGTGAGTTTCCACGGCTCAAACCAGATTCCCACACCAAACATTGACAAACTTGCAAATGAAGGTGTCATCCTTAACAATTATTACGTATCACCTATATGTACACCTACCCGAAGTGCAATAATGACTGGCCGACACCCGATCCACACAGGTGTGTAATAGACAATCAGTATAATTCTCATCTGGATATCAATTAAAGTTAATGTTATAATTATGGACCATGTTAAACTGCTTGAGGCCTCATGTACATGCCCAACAGAACTAATACAGTGTTCATGTACTATACATCAAACAAACCTCTAGTTAATTGATTTACATTTTATAAGTTGCAAGCATTTTTTTTTAAGTGTATTTAACTTAATTAGGAGCTGATTAGTGTTGTTATTTTGAGTTATTTTGGCCACCTACAAAATTATCTTTAAATTGAAGGAGGCCTGAAAATAGTAGTTTAGTAAGATAGAAAAACACCAAAGAGATAATAATAAGCCAATTAAAAGAACAAGGATTGATGGCTGTAAAAGGATGGAGAAGGTTAAGATGGACTACAAACTGCAAAGTTGAAAAATTTAGGATAAACTTTTCAAGATGTGTGAACCATGAATTGGTAGCTCCTTTAAAAATTTCCTTGTTGTATACCATATTTGCACAGACTTCTGAGGACACTGAGAAGTTTGCCCCTGTGAAAATGTATTTACAGTGTAGTCTAAACAGAGTCAGGATGACAGTCAGGACCAGAGAGCAATTAATGTTATTAGCCCTTGATTAGTGAACTCCATGCAGTGTGTAAAGTAGGTGGCAGGGGGAGGGAACTGTCAGCTGCCAGTACATTTTGACAGTGCTACAGGTTTTTGTTATATCGTGGTAATTTCTCAATTTAATCTGGCTGAGTTAAAGTGCCCAGGTCTGACTTGACTTGGAGAACAAACTGCACTGTATCTTGGGAATATAAACTGCACTGGTAATGCACCATCTAAGTTTCTTGAGTCCAGTCTGTTGAATTATTACCAATTCAAGTAGTTTCCTTCTCCCATTTGTTAATGCTCTCTTCTAGGCATGCAGTCTGGAGTTATTTATGCAGCACAGCCTTATGGACTGGGATTGAATGAGACTCTTATGCCACAGTACCTAAAAGAACTTGGATATGCAACTCATGGCATTGGCAAGGTTTGGCATTTTTCATGTAGGTTGCAACAAAAAATATCTATGTAGCTTCCAAATCTTGAACTGAAATAAGGCACAATTTCAGGTTACATTTCTCTGACAAATGGCCTCGCTTTATGTATAACATCAGCCTTAGAAACTCGTTACAGCTGGCAATGGACCTTTTATCAACTTCAAGTGACTTTAAGTGTCAACAAGTTAGTCTAAAATGAGATGAAAAACTACTGCTGACTATTATTTATTAGAATTGCTGCAGACTTACTTACATTTATTTATTAACCCAATATCCCTACAATTTGCACTGCCACATGTCCCTTTTAACTGAGAGGAAAGGTGTGGATATAATATAAACTTGTAACCTAGCTCTCAGCCAGGATTCTCTCCTTCTTTCTTCCTTCAAATCACGACAGATTGAGCCTACTTGCAGGCTTGCATTGATCAATCATTGAAGTCACTTCCTGCCTCGTTCCTAAATATACTGGTCTTTTGTTTTATTTTAGTGGCATCTTGGCTTCTTCAAGGTTGCCTACACTCCTTCCAAGCGTGGATTTGACTCATTCTTTGGTTACTGGACAGGCAAGGAAGACTACTGGGACCACTCCTCCTCTGCTCCTGGTGGGGGCTGGGGACTGGATTTCCATAATAACACTGAGGTTACTACTCACAGACAGATATTGCTTGAAGTTATTAATTAGAACACATCTACTTCATCTGGTCAGTCATCTACTTCCTCATTCCAAGAATAGGTTGTCCAATGATTATTCACAAATGTAATGGATTGGACAATTTTTTAGGAGTATTTTCTTCAAATGGTAAGCCACTGACCTTTCCCAG